GAGCATAGTAAACTGAAAGTGCTATAAAACATATGGCCACATCGAGGACGAACTGCTTGTGCAGCGATTTTCTGGCAGAGCACTATATGCCCACTTATGCATTCCTGCGATTGGATGCAAACCATTATTCAAGCCCTCCTGCCCACCCCCTCCCAGCCACAGTCCTTTCCCTCCCCGGCTCTGCCTCCATCCATCCACTCCATCCAAAGCACCGCCTCGCGCTTAAACAAACACATTACTAAGCTGAAATATCTGCAAGTGTCGCTCATTTCTATCCAGCCATTGTCTCAGCCTGTCAGCATGTGGATTCGGCGAGCTGGCTATCTTGATGCAGGACGTGTCCTGATGCCCATTTGAATAAAGCAGGTGAAGGCTTTGCGCTTGTGTGCTACATCACCAGTCCTCCCCTCCCCGTGTGGCTCTGCGGCTCACATGCCCGAGTGTCAAGCTTGATTTAGTCGCCGTTATGATAAATGCAAATTTGCTGGTATACCTGACGCTTGCACATTGTCGGGGACTTTGATCGAGATTAGCATGCACACTACAGGCTCTTTATCGTGCACAAAGCAGGAAAAAAAAAAAAAAAGCTCTTGGCTTTGTCCCAAATGACACTTAGCGAAATGTTATCCCATTCTTAATCCACTTGATTGGAATTGCTAATTATCTTTAATGCAGATTCACAGATAATTGTTCTCTCATTTATACTGTGAGCTAATCTCATTTTTGTGTCACCAGTAATTGCTTCATGCAACCCGTTTTTTTCCCCTTTTTTTCCTTTAAAGTTTAGAATCTGCTCTGATGTGCATGAAGGAACATGTCAGTGGTAGAGATGTCGCTGATTATCACCACAGTTTGTACTTAATACTAATATTAATTCTGTATAAATATTGTTACTGCGAGTTACGCAGCAGGCTAACGTCGTGAAATATCTTTGCATGCGGCGTTTCCGATGTTTCGGTCACACCTTTAACATCAAGTTTATATATCTGCAGTCTCACGGATTCATTTTGCGTTATAGGGGGGTAAATTATTCCCCCACACTTTGTTCATTAAGGTAGATTCTTGCCTTCCTCACGATTATTTCAACCCAAACCTTCCTGAGCACCACACACAAGTGCAACCCACTGTGCCAGCTGGCAAGCAGTTGGCAGCCCAGTGCAGGATTAACTGGTACCAGTATGCTGGCCTATAAATAGAGTCTACCAACTGCTTCAGGAAATGAACCATGATGGAGCCTCCCAAAGGCCCATGAACAGGTTGTGCTTTTTATCCCCTCCCCTCTGTCAGGATTCATCAGTGCATGTGTGTGAGTTACCAATATTTTTACTGTCTTTCTCAGGGAAACCTAGCAAAGCACCTGCTCTCGAGATCAGGTCTGCATCTGCCCTCAGCGATTGGGGGCAAAGCTGGTTTTCCTCACACCAAATTCTATTTATTTCTTTATTTTTTTAGAGGCGTCATTGTGTGCAGCTCGACAGTGCAGAGAGATCATTGCTTTTCTCCAGCACTTACCCCTAGCATTGATCCTCTGTAGTGGAGCAAGCTATTTGCTTTGTATGTTTGCCTGCACGTCCTCTTTTGATGGACTCCTAGGATTGATCCTGGCCATGCAGTCATTATCTCCATTCAGTTTAGTGCTGGTTTACGTAAAACTTGAGGAAGGAAGACACCAGCGGTGAAGAATGGCCATAGAAAAAAGATCTAAATGCTGTAGGATAATAGGTGGCATGAGAGATTTTGACTGCACTGTGTGCTGCTTTATGTTCAGAAGTTCAGAAGTGCTCAGCTCAGAGTGAAACACTTTTACAGGCAGAACATCCTTGATCGCAAAATGTATTATTGGTTCAATGCAGTCGGTTTGTGTTACTGACTGGTTGTGCATCTGATCAAAAAGTTTAGTGTTTGTTTCTTTTGTGCAAACTTTGAATCCCTGCCACAGGAAATGAGACTGAAATGTGACTGTCTCAGTGGGCCTCAGGTGCTTGTGAATGCTGTGCTGATGACACGTTATGTGGATCATGATGAAATCAACTTGTTATATTGGGCAAAAAAAAAATATTGGGATAAATACTAAAATGCTTCCTGATTTTGTACCCTCTGCAGTTTGACAGTGGATGAAATCAAGGCTAAAGTGGTGCTTGTGCACGATGAGCAGCGTGTTCTCTCTGAGGGTGAAGCACTGGTAAGTTCATCTTTATTCATCTTTATGCTACAACTCTGCAGGTAATATTTTTTAATGATTATTTGATGCTGGATGGGGAAACAGCCCAGTGCTACACTTGTGTAACTAAAAGTTTCTTGGTCGTCCACATCGTGTGTGGCTCTCCAAAGTTCCCTTCAACTGCCATTTCCTAATGACAGCTGGAAGCTTTTTGATATCTTTTTATAGCCTAGCCCAATCCTGGAAGCCTCAATTAGCTTTGCAGTTTCTTAGAGAAGCCCGTGGTTGTTGAGTGCTAACACAAGAGTTGAAGAGTGTGGAGGATTTATCAGCTCTGAATTGTCACCAGCTGATGATTCCCTTAATTAAGGCCAAATAAGTTAATGAGGGTCTGAGGCTTTTTATGTGAAAATGTTACCTTGGAATCTTTTGCCTAGTCTCACACCAAAGTATGCCACATTTATTGTTGGCAATAAAAATGTTGTATTTTCAAAAATAAACTAGCTGTTTTTTTTGCTTTGTAGGGGAAGTGTTTTCACTCGTTCTTTCTTTGTTGGAAAATAAAGCTTTTCTAACATGTATGACGTTTTAAAAGAAGTATTCTTTAACCTAAATACTAACTAAAACATTTTGTTGTCTAATCTGATTAAACAGTGAGTGAAAATAATAATAATAACAATAATAACAATAGTAATGATATACAGGAAATTAACCCAAGTCTCATCAGAGCAGCTTTTATGACTTGTGCCACTGCCATCCATCCATCCAACCTCCTAATGCAGTCTTTCTTGGCTTTTCTGTGTGCACCGGGGTTGTCACAACACTGGAATTTCACACTCAACAGTGGCACCCAGGAGTATAATTTTTCATAGAAGTTAAGACATTAAGAAGCATCTTTTTTTGTATTCAGCTACAGTCCTGTTTATCTGCTTTGTGTCTGGGGACTTCTCACCGTACTTCTTCTGCTGATCAAACAGCCTTTTCTCAGCTTCAGTCAGGGACTTTAAGAGAAGTGTAACAATTTTTAAACACAAATAACTTTGTAATGCTGTGAAATTCACTTTATTGATTCTGCAGACGGGAGGAATTGATTACATTTGCTGCTTAGCTCCCAGTAGCAGTAGTAGTAGTAGTACCTACTACCTTAATAACAACAGATGACTTAATGTGCCAAGGTGTGCGGTGGCCAGGTTAATGTTTACGATGATGTTTTAATACTTTAGTGTTGTTGAAACAGGAAATTCCTCATAAAGATGAGGGTGTCAGTTTGTTTCAAGCAGTGTTCAGCTGCTAGTGAGGGGAGGGGCTGTGTGCTGTCTGTATGCAGGGTGCTGAAGTTGTGTGTCAGCTAGAGGCAAACACGGCACTGTTCAATATTGTTGCAAATGAGTATCCAACAGTCATTTTTTGTAACAATTAGTATCTGAGAGTGCAGGTAGACAGTCACAGGACATCTACGTAGGCCCCACCCTCTCATTTTATGATAAAACTAATGAGAACTTCACCGCATTGCAGGTGGGTTGAAACTTCTGCACCTACTGGAGTTGTTTTTTATTCTTTGATATATTTATTATTGATTTATTGATTGATTTATTTTAATTTGGGGGGAAAAGTAACAGTGTGTTAAAAGTAATGTTTGAGGAAATGCTAACTGATCTAATCTAATTGATTTTTGTTATTATGATTGGTTTTAACGTGCTTTATGCTACTTTCATTCATTTTTCAAGAAGTTATTTTAAAAAAAGTGGAAGTTATTGCATTTTAATTAGTAAACTTAGGTGGCACAAAAACACTTTATTTCTCAACATTACTGAAAACCATCATAAAAACACAGGCAAACCCATAGCTTCCACACTGTGTCTACACCATCAACAACAGGACATTCTGCATACATTCAGCAACATAAACGTTTTAGTCTTTGATGCTAATGTTGTTTTGGATACTATTGCTAATTACTACCAATCTGAGCCAGTTGTCCTTGATGATTCATCAATGGATATGTGAATGTTGATTTTGGGGTTGTGTATTTCTCTACGTCATTAAATTCATTACATATGAATAAATACATATATGAGGAAATATTACTCCATATCTCTAAACAGTATTGCTGGAGTGCCTTGAGGCAACTGTTGTTGTGATTTGGTGCTTGTGGTAGGACTTGACTTAAGCGGTCAAAGAAGAGCATGAGACTGATGCTGTCCAGTGTAGCAAGTGATTTATTCACCATTTTGTGACCCAAACAATATTTACAAAGAAACAAATAAACTCAACTCTAAATTAACTCAGTTCAACTAAATATAACTGAACTTAAATCAACGTAAATTAAGGTCAAACTGCACACAGCTACACTGACCTGAACCTTTCTTCTCAAACACCTGAGTTCTGCTTAAATAGTCCACTTAACCAAACAATTTCTCCTCTGGACTATTCCATTCAGTAGGTAAGATGAACATGATTATATTCAAACCTCTACTGCTACTCTTTACTAGCAACATAAACTCTGTGGTGAAATCAATACATATTACATCAATAAATCTATTTATCCATAAACACTCTAAAATCAACTTTATTAACCCATATGGAAAAGATATATATAAATCTTATAAAGTTTGTATCTGTCTTGTGTGAAACTTGTATGAAAAGCATACAAGAGTAAAAACAGATATAAGATCCCT